TTAGTTTAGTCAGGCGCTGTACGAGCAAGTGCGCTCCGCGCGTATCAGAAACCGTCTTAACGCCTGCATTTGCCAAAATGAATTCTGCCCCACTGCTTAATGTCCCAGAACAGTTAAATTCGTTTTTAATCCAAAATGCTTAAAATGCATTTAAATGAAAAGCTTACATCATGACGCGCAAAATGAATTTCTCAACCCATAAGCGAATATACTAGCCCTATAGAGTTTGTTCAACACAAAAAGCACTATACATCTATCGAGTTAATAATCAAACTAACCTAAAATCTGTGGGGATGATGACGCTGTTTTTATCTGCTCCATATGTCCGGTCCATTTGCTGTTCCACAACTCCCACTCCCCATCATCAGCTTTAGTAAAATAAACTAGCTGTGGATTTAGTGACTAACTCATTTTTTTCTCTCACTATTTTTTTTTAGAATAGTTGACATTTTTACTTATCGAAGATTGTTCTTTGCATGACCGTTTCTAGATTACACCAGAATGAAGTGAAGAGAGGCAAATGCAGACATTAGGCGCAGTGATCACCTGATAGATATGCTACGTGCACAGTTAGTTCAAAAGTAAAATATATAATAAATGCATTTGATTGGTAAAACAAATTCAAATGTGACGTTTTCATTTCTAATGGTAATGCAAGGAATTTATGGAAAACTCCACTAAATAATAGCGCTAAAAAGTGAGGGGCGTGGTGGGGCTTTGGCGATCGGCGCTACCGATGTCTGTCAATCTACTCCACAGCCAATCACGGGCCCCCTCCTTGCTGGGGCCCCAGGGCTTCAGCCCCGCCTAGACCAATGGTTAATGCGGCCCTGGTTGTTCCAAATGAATGCATTTTGAACTCTTCAGATATTCCCTTCTCAGTGTGTAGGGAATGGCGAACACTGCGTAGGGTCCCTGTGATGTGCTCTTTATCTTTTTCTGCTTGACAGGAAGTGCTGCAGCATAGAATATTTATAATCAGAGCATTGTGCCTTTAACTCAGAAATGGACACACACATTCAAATACGCATATACTCCTGTACACACATACTTGAAACTGCTGATAATAAATAATATCTAATAAAAGTGGAAATATCTAAACCTTTGAACCATAAACACACTTTCTGTTCAGACACACAGTAATACAGTAGACATACACTCATGTGTATTTAAACAACCACATGTATACACCGAGAGAAAAAAAATGTTGCGTTATGTAATAAATATGCAATCCCCTGAGGCCTGTGCTCATTATAAACAGATATTTCCTTTATTTCTGCAAAACAATTCCACAGATGTGGAACCTGAGCCATAAGCTATCTATAATTTTTATTTTTTACAGCTTTTTTTAGTAATTTTTTTGTCAAGACACGTGTGGCTAATATTTAATATTCATTTATTTTATATGATTAGTAATACAATTTTAGTTGATGATAATGTGTCATACTGCAACAGACCAAACTTTAACCAAAACCAAACATTTTGAAAATCATTATTTATATTAAAATCAACTATAATGTTTTTGCTTTAAATAATTGAAACATGCTTAAATAGTTTCAATGTATTACACGTATAAATAATTTATCTACAACATAAAACATGTGAAAACTGTCTTTGTAAAAAGCTGAGCTCCTGAAATAACAGCATATAATGAGAATAAATGAGCATTGTCCTATTTTTTCCACAATATATAATTTTATGCTTTCCTTCTCATAGTACACCTCAGCAAACTTCTACTATTTTGTTGTTTTTTCATCATTTGCTGCTTTAATTTATTTCATCCACTGTCGTCTCTTCCTCTAAATCTATTCGTGTACTTTTCCTGCAGTCTTCCCTCTTTGTTTCTCTTTTACTCCCTCTCTCTTTCTCTCTCTCTACATTCCTCACTCCAGTGAAGAATGACTAATGTGTGCTTTTTTTTCTAGCTGTAACTGCATACTATTTTAAGAGCCACATCCATAATTAAGATTGACTCGACCTGGAGGGATAGAATGTGTGTTTGTGCACTTTAATATGTTTCTGTGTTCATATTTCAAGGATTGTCCATCCACATGTAAACACAAACAGTTGAATGCTAGTACTAATTGTGAGGAGTTCGTGTTTACATTGGTCTCAGATATATGAAGAGTACACTAAAACACACACACACATAAACAGGTCGAGTTGTTTTTAGGTCAACAGTAATGAGTGTGAGATCTCTGTTGGAGGAAAACAAAGGAACATGATGAATGAGTGTGAGTTACAAGAGTAATCTCACCTCTCATTTCATTCTCATCCCTCATTAAATGTACACCTGTTCTCGCTCTCTTTCTGTTTGCAGGATCAGTACGGAGTCCCATTCCCCCAAGCTGCAGATCCGGAGTCACAGTTACCTGCGAGCGGTGAGTGAGGTTTCAATCAACCGCAGTTTGGACAGTCTGGACCCGGCCGGTCTGCTGGCCTCACCCAAATTTCGCTCCCGAAACGAGAGCTACATGAGGGCCATGAGCACCATCAGCCAGGTTGGTCATCGCCCCTCGTTCTCTGGTGGAAATCACCATTAAGATACTGATCTTACACCAGTGGGAAACAACAACTGGGCCTGGATCAGATCCTAAAGGTGATTTCCAACCAGAGCCTTCCTCAACGTCAGCCTTCAAGAAGGTTTGCAAAGGGGAGGAAAACATGCAAACGAAAAGAAGTTATATTTTTGCTCAAGTACTCAATTTTTGCTCAATTCCATTGGTCATCTCATAGAATCATCTCATTATCATCTTTTGATCCATGCATTATTCCGAAGTTTAATTTGCGTACTATCAGTATGGTATGGATGATTAGGATTGGCATCACAAATTGTATGTTGGTGAATACTGTGTTAAAGGTGCCCTAGTTAGTGTACTTCTTGACAATAAGGCTAAAGCTCCAAGTATACTTCAGTTTTGACACAATTAATAGTGAACGTATACAGCTGAACACAATGCCATTTGATAGCATGTGCATACATAGCCGGTCGATACATGCACACTAAAAAGTTAAATCTTTGTCCATTTTATGTGCTTTTTCCGTCTAGAAGTTATGACTGATGAAAATATTTTTGTACTCGTTCAAATTAGAGCCACGGGTATCTCTTATCCCACTCACACAATCGTTCGTTAACATGGGTGTCTGTTGTTGTTGCTGACTCTAGTTGTTGTTGGTGTTATTCCATTATTCTTTCTAGTAATTTGTTACTGTTATTCAGATTCAATTAATTCTATTAATTATAGTAGTTTGTTGGCATTATTCCATTATTCTAGTAGTTTGTTGGTGTTATTTATTATTTTCTTTTTTTATTAATAATTTTTTATTTATTTTTTGCTGTGAAACATTGGCTCAGTGTTGCCACCTTTTGAACAAATTAATCAGTGCAACAATAAAATTCAAGGTGCATGTGCAAGCTGAGTAGTTCACAAGGTTAAAAACAAATTGGCATTGCACATACAGTATGTGCTTGTTACCTTGATGAAATTTATGCCTCATGCACTGTACGCATACCTTATTGTACCTTATCAAAGTATACTTTTTAGCTGCCACAGCTGTTTTAAATATATAAACTTAAAAGTTCACTTTTACACATTTTCCTCATTAAAAAAATGTACCCCCCAAAACTTGTTCACTCATAATTTTTCAGTCATATCAAAAACTATAGTCATTTCAGTAGCCTATTTACAGCTGTTTCATTTACATGGGAGAGGGTCGCCTTATGGGGGCCGCCATTTTGAGATCACATGACTAGCTGTATAGTACTCATCTCTGTTACCCTCTTGTTATTGCACACTTTTACTCAGAATAAATTAATCATGACTAACTGCAAATAGACCATTTCTACAATGGCATACAGTGCTGTGAAAAAGTTTTTGCCCCCTTCCTGTTTTGTTTTTTTTATTATAATTTTTTGCATATTTGTCACACTTGAATAATTCAGATCATCAAACAAATTTTAATGTTACACAAAGATAACCCGAGTAAATACAAAATGCAGTTTTGAAATAATGAATTAATTTATTAAAGGTAAAATCTGTTCAAACCTGCCTGGCCCTACATGAAAAATAATTGCCCCCTAAATCTAATAACTGGTTGTGCCACGCTTGGCAGCAACAACTGCAATCAAGCGTTTGCGATAACTGACAATGAGTCTTTCACATCGCTGTGGAGGAATTTTGGCCCACTCTTCTTTGCAGAATTGTTTTAATTCAGCCACATTGGAGGGTTTTCGTGCATTATTGGACTGTTTAAGGTCATGCCACAGCATCTCAATCAGATTTAAGTCCGGACTTTGACTTGGCCACTCCAAAACCTTAATTTTGTTTTTCTTGAGCCATTCAGAGATGGACTTGCTGGTGTGTTTGGGATCATTGTCCTGCTGCATAACCCAAGTGCGCTTGAGCTTGAGGTCACGAACTGACAGCTGGACATTCTCCTTCAGGATTTTCTGATAGAATGCAGAATTCATGGTTCCATCAATTATGGCAAGTCGTCCAGGTCCTGAAACTGCAAAGCAGCCCCAGACCATCACACTACCACCACCATGTTTGACTGTTGGTATGATGTACTTGTTATGAAATGCTGTGTTGGTTTTACAAAAAGTTCCTTCCAAAAAGTTCAACTTTTGTCTCATCAGTCCACAGAATATTTGTTTCTCATCTGTTCTTGAATTTCTTAAGATCGCGGCATGATGTGTTGCTCTTTAAGCATGCTTCACTTTGTCAGACAGGTTCTATTTAAATTATTTCTTGATTCAACATGTCTGGCAGTAATCAGGACTGGGTGTGGCTAGTGAAATTTAACTCAGCTTTCTAAAATAATGTTGTTAATCACAGTTCTTTCATGATTTAACAGGAGGGGGCAATTAATTTTTCACGTAGGGCCAGGTAGGTTTGGACAGTTTGATGATATGAATCTTTTAAGTGTGACAAATATGCAAAAAATTAAAAAATCAGGAAGGGGGCAAAAACCTTTTCACAGCACTGTATGTAACTAAAACTGGCGTTTTTGTGTAATGCTGCCTCCAAACACCTAGATGTCAGTACAAGTCCAAAATGATTACCATATCAGACAGTGCAAGAGTTGGCTAGATGCTTCCAGAAATATCCAAACACAGTTCTTTTCTGCACCCCAATTCACATGCAATCTGCTCTATTTATTATTCAGAATTAGTGTGTCCCCAAATTGTAGTATGTTGAAATGAATATCTCAAAGGTACCCAGATGTTTTTTCTATTTCCGGTGAAATTTTGAATTACAGATACACGCACACTCTAACGGCGGACACAGATTTGTTTAGAACTACAAACACAATAAATTAAAAAAAAAACTACAAAAATGGCAGTTATGTGTAAGTAGAGAGGTTGAAGTAAAAGGGTTTACATGATTAATAATCATCTGTAATCAATAAGTGATGCAACTGATGCCGTAAGTCACATGACACATGAAGAATGTAGTACATCCGAAAATTTCATTCATAATATTGCAGAACATACCTTTTTAACGGTCACAAAGTAAGTGCTTTATAAAATGCAGTACCCACTCACTATGCGATTTCAGACGCAGTTGATTGTGTGCAACAAAAGGATATGTGGTGTCAAGATGCAGTTTTATGATGTAATAGTTTGTCCCAATACGGCTGACTTACTAATAAACTACTCAAAAGTATATATTTTCCCTATCACCAACAAGTACATGCTAGTAAACGAATTTAACTTCTGCTCTGTCAGAATGGGCTGTTGTAGAGCCCTGCATTTCAGCCCGAGCCCGATGGGGCCCGACTTATTTATGCCCCCTAGCCTATAGCCGGGCTTCGGGCCAATTTTCACGTCATATAGCTCACATGTGGGCCGGGCATCGGGCCTGTTTTAGGTTTCTCCTTCTTTTTATATTTTAGACTTTCATCAGTTAAGGTGATGGAAAATATGTTACCGCGTCCGCGACTATTGAGACCGGCTCGCACGGTGTTTAGTGTTGCTGCCAGCAGCATAGCAGCGAGTGTGCCTTCAGCACAGCTGGAAGAGTTATAGAAGAAAAGAGGACTAGATTAAAACTACGGCTGCCCCGACTAAATATTTTTCTAGTCGTTCATTTAAGCCATTATTCGACTAATCGCTCGTTTATATTAATTGAATTACTTAAACATATATTAAACCATAATGAGCCTTTTGATATATATAGGCTAGCTAATCTATTCGCGCGCAAGCATAGGCATAAATCTTGCCGCAAAGCACCAGCAAAAGTATTAATGACTATGAATGTGTCGGGAAAATAGTAAGGAGATATTTTAATTATTTATTAATAAACTAGTGTTCTCATGTCTATGAGGCAAGTAGCTTATAGCCTCTATGCATTCAGGGCTGGGGAGTGCAACAGGTGCGGTCGCACCGGCCCCCGCGGCAAACGGACCGAGGGGGACACCCCCACCCCAGAAGGCGATCGCAAACGGACCGAGGGGGACCAAGGAACGCGATTGTGAACGGACCGAGGGGGACCCCGCTCCCTACCTCGCACCGGGCTCCGCGTCAGCTAAGGACGGCCCTGCAGACATTAAGCACGCTTTAGCTTCCACACTCCACACAAACACTTGGCTATGCACCTGACAGCGCACATTTATCTAGGTTAAACGTTTAAACTAACATTATGATATGCTTGAAGTGTTTTATATCTATGGATTTTATTGTAGGCAAGTCAAGTGTTGATTTGAGAAGGCTAAATTGATCAAACGTGATCAACTCACTGTCTGCAGCTGGCCGCTTGGTCGTCACTTTAAAAAACAAAAACTTGTGTTTTTCTAAATTACCTTAATAAAGAAACTTAAATAAATATAACCACTTTGCCATTAAAAACAAAACGGAACTAGTTTAATGGCTGCAACAGTAAGCTGTGTAATGGGGAGGAGAAAAAAAACAGTCACAGGCTCCAGTCGGACTCAGGCCGAGAATTTCGATAAGCTGTCGGACAAAGGCCAGGCTAAGGCCTAGATCTGAGGCCCGTGCAGGGCTTTAGGCTGTTATAGCTAACAGGAGGAGTATACTGTATGCTAGTAACAAAATATTAAGTTTGTGGAGATGAGTTCTCATGTTTACTGTTAGTTTTAAACCTTGACGGTCAGTAAAGCCTTTTAAGCAATTTTAAGTGGTGTTCTTCCTTGTTAGCATGTGTAGCTAAGGGATTTTCAAGGTGCATTTTCAGGATTAGTGTCTGTTGCCATGGGATTTTAAGGTGAGTTTTCAAGATTAGCTTCTGTAGCCCTGGGATAAGGTGACAGGCAGCGTTTACAACCGGGACAATTTTAAGGTGAGTGTTCAGAGCCTGACAGCTCACTCAGACAGAGAGCAGCCCTAACCTTTTATGGCGCTTTTCCACTGCGTGGTACGACTCGGCTCGGTACGGCTCAGTACGGTACGGCACGGCTCGGTTCGGCTCGGTTTGCGTTTCCACTGCAGTTTAGTATCGCTTTAGAGTGGGCGGGATTATTCACATGTCATTATAGTTGCGCCGCCTCTACTGCCGCGACTCCTAAAAAACTTTTTCATTCCGCGTCGCCCCATCAAGCTCTCACTGGATCCGCTCCTCTGCTATCAACGAGAGCAACGTCTGTACTTCCTCAACAGGGGGAACAGCCACTTTTTGGTTGTTAAAAAAAGGTGCGTTCATTCAAAACAGTTGCATTCGATCCTTCGCTGGCTGTGCTGATTTAAATCTAGCGGTTCTTTTGTGTTTGTGTCGCAAGTTCAGTGACGCAGGTAGTGACGATTCTCTCCGGCCAATCCGTGATCAGCAGAGTTTACACGTCACGTTTTGGTAACGGTACGGTTCGCTTGGAACCCCAACCGAAGTGGTACTAAAAAAAGTACCAGGTACCAGGTACTGTACCCAGTGGAAAACACCCCAAAAGTGAACCGTACCGAGCCGTACCGTGCCGTACCATGCAGTGGAAAAGCGCCATTAGAGAGCTGCTTCCTCCCACCCGCGAAAAAGACACTGCCCATATATGTGTGAAAGTGTGTCCTTTCTGCTCCCTTAGGATACATCAATCATTTTGGTGACAAAAAGCTCAGTCTGCTCACCAAAAAACCAACATTCATTGGTCCCTCATGTGTATAGTGAATGTGTGGGCATTGTATGTGTGTACATGCATACATATGTGTTGGTGTAGGTGTGTTTCTCTATGGGTTTTGGGATTTTTATTGCTACTAGATGATTTGCAAATCTTAGTGCCTGCTTCCCTGTAGTCTCCTTTAGCCAATGGCAAACACTCTGCTGTCTATCCTCCAATGACAACTCACTATTAGTTCTCCAGTTACATAATGCTCAAAACATTGTTTCCACTTCCTTTCCAACCTTAAATCATGAGACCCCGTCCTCTGATAAGTTTCTGTGTAAATCCAATCACACTTCTTCAGCTTCACTGCTGTAGTATAGAAAGAGCAATAGTGATGCAGCCACACCTGATTTTGCTTTCACTTGTACAGATTTCCTCCCCTCTGCACTCTTTTTTTTCCTGTTTTAGTGTGTTTAACCCTTATTATTTAAGATGCAGCTTGGCTGTTAGAGGGTTAAACTGAGCCTACATGACAAATGACATCTCAGGACTCACAATTTGCACATTTGCACATCCCCCAACAATCGATCTTACATCAATATTTAACCTATTACTAATTCCGACTATGGTGTTTACTCATTTTGGTATTTAGGGTGTCATGACATTTTAAGCTGAAACAATGTGATTAAGTTGATTAGAAGTAAATCTATGTTAACGTCTAGAAAAATCACCCTTAACATCACATTTTCTCTCTTAAACATACTAATACACTTGTGTTTTTTATTCTTTGTGATTTTCTTTCTTGCTTTTGTGTTTTGTCAAATTTTTTGCTTGATGTTTAAACATATTTCTGGAAATAAAAGACATTTTTCCGACACTAAAAAAGGTTAATATGGCAACAAAGGACCCTAGATTGTGAATGCAGGTATCCACTGTGTAGTACTTTTTTTTGTACTTTAAAACTAAATCATATATTAATTTAGTTAAATTATAATAACAATATATACGTTTTATAATTTATTCATGCATGATGTTTTATTTACATTTTTTAATTTTGTATTCTAAGTATATCTAAAAAAACAATAATATAAATAATACAATTTATATTCTATACAAATAAAAATGGAGTAATGAATGAATCAAACGTATATATTATGTTAAAATACTTTTGCATTTTAAAAGTGAATACATTTTTTATAATGACTGACTATTATAAAAATATTTAGGTTTTTCAAATTTGAAATTATTAATTTTAATCTTTGGTTAACTCAGTATTTCACACCCCTTCGTGGTGTCGTCATACCATATACCTTTAGTATGCCTACTGCAATTCTTGAACAGGTTTTCATAACGCAGGACTAAAAGTCATCTTTCAAAATGTATGAAATATTGCTTAGGGTTAAAACTCACCTTAATCCAGGGCTAAGTTTAGCGTGAAAAGTAAAATGTGTTTTTGTAGAGCTTTGCAGAACTTCATATGATCTCACTAGAATCCTCTGCCTTCTTAATACAATGATTTAAAGTCATTGTACATTAGTAAGCCTTGAGCTAACATCTTGAAAGCTGCTCATTCAGTCAGGAGTGTTTAAAAATATGCAACTATCCCATGACAGGAGGGTAAAGGGGTAATATGACAGTATGTGGTGATGTGTTGTCTCCCCCTGCAGGTGAGCGAGGTGGAAGTGAACGGGCAGATCGAGGCCGTGTGTGAGAGTGTGTTCAGTGAAATGGAGTCTCAGGCTGTGGATGCTCTGGATTTGCCGGGGTCTGGATGCTTCCGCATGAGGAGCCACAGTTACGTGCGGGCCATTGAAAAGGGCTGCTCGCAGGAGGAAGAAGAGGAGAGAGCGACACGTCAAGCCATCTCACCACCTCGAAATACAACTACTGTTAGAACCATCCAGAACAGTACAGGTACGAGCACCTTAAAACCTGGTAAAACAACTACTATTATTGTAGTTTTAATAATGGGTTTAAGGGTCAGTGACATGCCTTATTTCTTTTTAATGCAGTGTAATTCATACTTAAAATCTCTTGAATTAACCTTTTCTGTGATAAAGTTTTCAATTTCTATATTCAAAATGATTTTGATGTTTTTTGTAGGCATAAAGTCAAAACTGTCCAGGTGGTATAACCACCTGATTTTGTAACAAAGAAAAAAGGAAAAAAGGGGGTTAAGTAGTTTGGAATAATATTTTCTTTTAAAAATATTACTAAGTACTAATGGCAAGTCTTTTTTTTTTATTTAGATTTATTGAAAATAATGATTAGGATGTGCACAAACATCTGTGGTGTTTGGAAAATATATTATATATAATAATTTTTACTTGTTTACTCATAGTTTAGAAGGGCCCTGGCTGCAGTCTCACGTGTGAACCCCCCCCCAAAAAAGTTAACTTTATTATTTTTTATAATTTCATATAAAGAATGAAGATTGCATTTCTTAGAACTTGGCACATGTTTTAAACTAGATATTTAAAGATTTTTTTCCCCACATAATTTCTAATTTTAAAAATCTTTTGTCATTGACCCATCATAACTTTATATAAAGTATATAGATATATTATGTTGGTACAGTCAACTGTAGCTGTTGAATATAACTATTGAATTTTAAATGGCTTTATAAATTCCAGACATTCTTACTGCTATAAAAATAAAGGTTCTTTATTGGGATTGATGGTTCCATAAAGATCCTTTAACATCTATGGAACCTTTCTATTGCACAAAAGGTTCTTTATAGTGGAAAAAAAAGATCTCCCACATGAGTCTATGGATATAGGAGGACATAAAAAAAATAAAATAAAGAGCATTAGTCTGAGCCCTGCCACATCACCACAACCAAACAAATTAGCATCAAGAATTTTATTTACAGTTCATGGAACAGAGAAAAGGTATTGTAATAAAAATGCAAAGGGAAGCAATGGCTTCAGGAGGGGGCAAGGCCAACATAACAAAGTAATTGAACTAAGGAGGTAAAACCTCTAAATAATCTACCAAAGAAAAAAAAAACGAAATCCCTTTCTAGAACCAAAACAGGAGAAATCAGTTAAACAAAAATGGCACCCACCTCCTTACAGCTTCCAAATAAACAAACAAACCAACAATCAGTAAAGTAACTAATAAACTGTACATAAACTAATAAAGGTAAATAACATTAATCTACACACTTAACTGCAAATGTAAACATTGGAGACAATCGCCACAATAGATAAAAAAACAAAACAAGCAATACAATACCAAAGAGTAGAAAGTTAAGCAACTATAGTTCAACAGAAAGAATGTAATTTGCAACAACCAACTGGGGACTGTGCAGGACAAAAACAATGCTCTGGGGAAAGTTCTTGGGGAAAAGTTTCTTCTCTACTTTTGTGCTGCCTCTCTCTCTTGACTGGTAAGCAGCCGCAGCTGGGGGCAATCAGCTACCTGCCAGATGGATTGAGTAGGAGGAGCCAAAGGGAAAACTGAGAGAGAAACACAAATGCAAGAAAACGCAGCTCTTGTAATGTCCCATAACAATAAAGAACACGTCTCTGGACGTAACATTAGATTATGAAAATATTTTTCACACTAGGAAAAAAATGTTTATTTTAAGAACTTCTCACTGAAAGGTTCTTTACAGAACCCAAACATTTTTTTTCTATGGCAGTGCTGTGAAGAACATTTTTGGAACATTTATTTTTAAGAGTGTACCATTGAAAAATGTACAGTCTTCCCACTTTCCCTCCCAACAGTATTCCATTTTTCTCTTCCTTCCATCTTTCACTCTCTCGGTCACTTCATCTGTATGAATAGAGAGAGCCAAGGTCTCTTCCCTCCTTCTCTCTTGTGCGGGATGTTGTTTAATTACAGCGATTAGAGAGTCTCATTCTTTCTCCTCATCACACTGTCATCAGGGTTGTAGTCAGCTAATTAAAAACATTTACAGACAAGTGGGACGAAGGGAGGCTGGAGAGAAAGAGAAAGAGCTGTTGAGACAAATTAGAATGAGAGTGAGGAAACAGACAGACACATAATAGATAGAGATGAGAGTTTGGGTTCCCTTTCAGTCAGTCACGTTCGACATTACGTCAGTCGTGACTGACGAATTGGGATCTCGCCCGAGAGCCCAAT